CACCAGCACATCGCGGCCCTCTTCCCCAACGACGTGGAGCGCCTGCGCCGCATGTCCCTCATAGAGGAAGGGGGCACCAAGAGGATCAACATGGCCCATCTGTGCATCGTGGGCTCCCACGCCGTCAACGGCGTCGCCAAGATCCACTCCGAGATCGTCAGGACCCAAGTGTGAGCAGGGCACGGGGCAGGCCGGGAGCGGGAAGGGGAGCGCAGCCGCCCCCGGCACCCTCAGCTTCAAGGACTTTGCGGAGCTGGAGCCGGGCAAGTTCCAGAACAAGACCAACGGCATCACGCCGCGGCGCTGGCTGCTGCTCTGCAACCCGGGGCTGGCGGAGCTCATCGCCGAGGTACTGTCCACGACATGCAAGGAGAGCCGCTGTGACATGAACATTTAGGGTCCCTTCAGTGGCCAGACACCCCTCCCGTCTCCAGCGGGTCCTTCGCAGCTTCCCGCCGGGAAGGCGCCGGCGCAGCGTGCGGGTGCCCGCGCTCAGCGCCCGCCCGGGCTCTATCCCGCAGAAAATAGGCGAGGACTACGTGAAGGACCTGAGCCAGCTCGCCAAGCTGCACGCCTTTGTGGACGACGACCTCTTCATCCGGGAGGTGTCCAAAGTGAAGCAGGTGAGGGGCGCGGGGCGGCGCGGGCGGCGCGGGCCGCGCGCGGCTCCTGACGCAGCGCCCGCCTCGCCAGGAGAACAAGGTGAAGTTCGCGCTCTTCCTGGAGAAGGAGTACAAGGTGAAGATCAACCCGTCGTCCATGTTTGACGTGCACGTCAAGCGCATCCACGAGTACAAGCGGCAGCTCATGAACTGCCTGCACATCATCACCATGTACAACCGTAAGGCACCGCCGCGCGCCCGCGAGCCCCTGCTGGGGTTGTGCTTAGGAGAACAGGTGACACCAGCACTTCTTTCTTCCCCAGGCATCCGGAGGGACCCTGCAAAGCTCTTTGTGCCCAGAACAGTCATCATTGGAGGCAAAGTAAGTCAGATGGGGAGTTCAGGCACTCGGAAGGAAGCCCGTGGAGATGTCCTAAGGGTGACGTCCTGCGGGGATGTGCGCCCTGAGCCCACCAGGCTGACACTGGGGCAGCTCTTGGTGGCCTCAACCCAGGCTAGATCCTATTACCTGGAGCTGTGCAAGCCCCGAAGGCTTCGTGCTGGCAGGGGGATGTGCCGGGCAGACGGTGCGACGCGTGGGTTGGATGGGAGCAGGGCTGAGCAGCACCGACCTGGGCACGCGGGAGCAAGGGGTTCCTCAGGGAAAGCTTTTCTCCCAGGCCGCCCCCGGCTATCACATGGCCAAGATGATCATCAAGCTCATCAACGCGGTGGCCCACGTGGTGAACAGCGACCCCGCGGTGGGAAGCAAGCTGAAGGTCATCTTCCTGGAGAACTACCGAGTGTCGCTGGCCGAGAAAGGTAGTGGGGCTGGGACTGTGCCCGGGGAGAAGGTGTTGAGCATCTCCACCTTGCTTGAAACCCAGCCAAGGCTCCTGCGGGAGCTGATGCCCCAGAGCTGCTTTAATGTCATGGGCCACATTGAGGAAGGTGGAAGTTCTCCTGGTAGCCGGGGGCTTGGCATCTCCCCGGGCATAGAGGAGGCCACCATGATCCAGTGCTGGTAACTGCCACCCCTTTCCCTGTGTTTTCCCGGCAGTGATTCCTGCCACGGACCTGTCGGAGCAGATCTCCACGGCGGGCACCGAAGCGTCGGGCACGGGCAACATGAAGTTCATGCTCAACGGGGCGCTCACCATCGGCACCATGGACGGAGCCAACGTGGAGATGGCCGAGGAGGCCGGGGAGGAGAATCTGTTCATCTTCGGCATGAGGGTGGAGGACGTGGCCGAGCTGGACCGCAGGGGGTGAGGGCCGGGCGGCCGGGCCGCGGGGCTGGCCGGGGCGCGGAGGTCCCACCGCGTCCTCGCCCCCAGGTACAACGCCCGCGAGTACTACGAGAAGCTCCCGGAGCTCAAGCAGGCCGTGGACCAGATCCAGAGCGGCTTCTTCTCCCCCCAGCAGCCCGAGCTCTTTAAGGACGTGGTGAACATGCTCTTCCACCACGACCGGTGAGGCCCGGCAGCGCGGCAGGGCTCCCCCACGGGTTCGGGCTGCCTTCATGGCCGGGGACATCGAGGCTGGCATGGAGCTGCCCTTAGGTCACCCCCGGGCTCTATGGCCGGAGCATTGAGCAGCCCACGGGCTCCATGGTGAAGCGGGACGTGCTCGGTGGCATCCAGGAGCAGGGTGGCTTGGAGCTTGATGTCTTCCCATGGGGACAGCCCAGCCCTGAGCACCCAGCCCGGCGTCTCCGGGTGCTGGATACCAAGGGAAGGGGCCGCGCGGCCGCCCGCCCGCTCCAGCCTGCCCTCTCCTTGCTCCGACAGGTTTAAGGTTTTTGCTGACTACGAGGCTTACGTCAAGTGTCAGGAGAAGGTCAGCGAGCTCTACCTGGTGAGTGGGGACAGGGACAGGACCCAGCGGGGGGACGCACGGGGCCACATCCCAGGCATCCTACGGGGTGCTGGCACAGGGCATCCCACACCGACATCCCGGCCGCTCCGCAGGACGCCAAGGCGTGGACCAGGATGGCCGTCAGGAACATCGCCGCCTCGGGCAAGTTCTCCAGCGACAGGACCATCAAGGAGTACGCCCGGGACATCTGGGCTGTGGAGCCGTCAGACGTCCGCATCCCGCCGCCCAACGAGCCCCGCGACGGCGCCGCCGCCCCGCGGCCAAGGCCACCGCTTAGCCCTGCGGCCCCGCTGCTGCCGGCTGCTCTAGGGACGGGGCAAGGGGATTTCCTTTTTTTTTTATATATATATATGTATAATATATAACACGCACGGGGTGCAGAAAGCGAAACGGTTTCAACCTGCTGCTTGCGGTGGGTGCTAAAAATAAAAGTGCCAATGGGGAGCTGGAAGGGCTGACCTCGCTCTGCTCTCTCACCAGAGCCTCAACTTAGTTTCGCAGGAAGCCGACACAGCCAGCAGGGCCGGCCCTTCCGCACTGGGATGCGCAGAGGGCAGAAACGCTCTTGCTGCTCCCAAGGGAGCAGCTCAGCAGGAGGTGAAGGGCAGACGGGGATATTTGCCATCACCCCTGTGCACTATCGGCAGTGGCAATCACCCTCATACACCATCAGTGGTTGCAATCACTCCTGTGCACCATTAGCAGTTGCAATCAACCCTGTGCACCATTGGCAGTTGCAATCAACCTTGTGCACCATTGGCAGCTGCAATCACCCTCATGCACCATCAGCGGTTGCAATCACCCTGTGCACCATTGGCAGTTGCAATCAACCCTGTGCACCATTGGCAGCTGCAATCACCCCCGTGCACCATCAGCGGTTGCAATCACCCTGTGCACCATTGGCAGTTGCAATCACCCTCATGCACCTTTAGCAGTTGCAATCACCCCCGCGCACCATCGGTGGTTGCAATCACCCCTGCACACCATTGGTGGTTGAAATCACCCTCATGCACCATCAGTGATTGCAATCACCCTCATGCACCATTGGCAGTTGCAATCACCCCCGTGCATCATTGGCAGTTGCAATCACCCTCATGCACCATTGGCAGTTGCAATCACCCCCGTGCATCATTGGCAGTTGCAATCACCCTCATGCACCATTGGCAGTTGCAATCACCCCCGTGCATCATTGGCAGTTGCAATCACCCCTGTGCACCCTCAGCATTTGCAATCACCCCCGTGCACTATCAGCCGTCGCAATCTGCCCCGTGGGCCGTCAGCGGTTGCAATTCCCAATCCCTGTGCACTGCCACCTCCACAGCAGCCCTGCCCAAGCCAAGCTGCTACTGAGGCTGGGCCTGGTGCCAGCTGGCTTGCAAAACCCTGCCCGGCTCCCAGCCTTCCCAGGGCCACTACCCAAATTGCAGCAGCTCTGGCCCTGCTGGCAGCCAGCCGGAGCGAGCAGCAGCATCCTGGAGCTTAGCAAGTCCTCAGTAGTTTGGTTTTTATTGCGTTCAGGAGGAGGTTCAGTGCCATGATGTGTCCTCGGGGAGGCCGTCGAGGCTTGCGCGCTCGCTGATCCCTGAGCATCACTTGATGTTCAAGAAGTCCCTGCAACGAGACCCAGAAATCCTCACTTCCAACACACCTCCATGCCCCAGCCTGCGTTTACAGCCAGGCTGGGAAGGGAGCCGGGCCGGGAAGGGAGCCGGGCGGGAGCAACGGGCTCACTTGACCAGGGCGGGCAGCTCCGCGTTGGAGGAGATGTAGTCGTGGCCCAGGCCCAGCTCCTTGGGGAAGGTGATGAGCTTCACCTTGGCCTTGTCGGCGTAGGCGCCACGCGCGGCCTCGAAGAGCTGCGGGGAGGCG